GACCCTCATGCCTCCTTGAGGGCTCTGGGCTGAGGGACACCTCCCCAGCCCCCATCCCCCACCCCAGTGCATGAATGTCATGCACCGGGCCTCTCGTGATAGAGTAATGGTGGATGCCTGCAGCCACCCCCGAGGTGGGTCCTGCTAGGACTCCCTTTTGCCTGGAAATGGGGGCCCAGAGATGACTCCCGTGCCAGGACCTCACAGGGAGTAAGCAGTGGGGCCTGGTTTGAACACAGCTCCGAATCAGAGCCTAGTCTTCCCCTGGGCAGAACCAACTCGAGATAAACAAGTGGCATCTATCTTCTCGCTGCATGACCGACACCCTTTCAGCTATTTGGGGATCACTCTAAGATGACCTCTTTATCAGGAAAAAAAAAGGGGCATTTATTAAGCAGCACCTGCATGCAAGGCAGTCTGGGGACACAGTAGTAACAGCACTGCCCTCATGGGCTCAGTCCTGCTTTCTTCTCCCAACACTTCTGCCTCCTCCTCCCCTTCCAGGTGACTGACTGTCTCACCACTGTGAAGTCCGTCAACAAAACGGACAGTCAGACCCTCCTGACCACTTTTGGGGTAAGATTCCTGTGTCCGTACAGGCATTTCTACCCGTGCCTTTTCGAGGAAGCCCCCTACTGCCCCCCCCGCCCCCCCTTTCCTGCCTTCCCTGCCCTCCCACAGGCCCTCACCTCCTCCCGGGAATATCTTAGATCCCTGATCAGCTGGGGCAGGGCAGAGTTTTATGCTCACCTCCCCTGGCCCTTCACTCCCCTCTTCCTCAGTCTCTGGAACAGCTCATAGCTGCATCGAGGGAAGATCTGGCCTTGTGCCCGGGCCTGGGGCCCCAGAAGGTAAGAGATCTGGGAACGGGCTCAGGGGTCAGGGGCAGGCGGGGGCCCCAAATAGATGGGACCCCAGAGCCTAACGTTCTAAGGTTTCCGAAGTCCCAAAGTGCCTCTCCTATTGATGGGGAAAACTGAGGCCCAGAGAGGATGGGTACCAGCCCAACCTCACACAGCCAGTCTGGGAGAAAAAGAACCAAAGTCCACTCTGGATGTACCGAACAAATGGCTCATTTAATGACCGGCTCCTTCCTCTCTCTCCCGCCCAGGCCCGCAGGCTGTTTGATGTCCTCCACGAGCCCTTCTTGAAAGTGCCCCGATGACCTCAGCTGCCCAGGAGGCCCCCAGTGTGACAATAAAGCATTTTCCCGCCTGGCTCCTGCTCGTGTGCTGCTGCAACCACCGGAAGGGGTTCTCTGCTGGGCTCTGACGGCCCAGGTGGCCACCTCAGCTTTCCTTAGCAGTTGTCGGTTTCCCTGGAGGAGACTATGCAGGATCCTGCTGCAGCTTTTTCTTTTTCTTCTTCTCCCGTCTCGTGGGAGCCACCTCCCCAGACTCTGGATTCAGTGGCGGCTCTGGCACCCCCTCCTGGGATGCCGTCTCTGGCACCCCACTTTCCTGGCCCCACTTCTTGCTCTTCTTGGTGGGCGCTGGATCTGCCCTGGCCTCAGGCTCCGTCATCTCACCTCCTGGGTCAGTCGCCTCAGCCCCTGGCTCTGTCCCTCTGTGCCCTCTTTCTTTCTTCTTCTTCTTGGGGGATGCTAGAGCTGCCTGAGGCTCAAGATCGCCTGGCAGCCCAGGCACCATCACCTCTTCCTGGGGCTCCACCACCTCTGTCTTTGGATCCATCATTGGGCTTTGCCATTTTTCCTTTTTCTTCCTCTTTTTGGTGGACGCCAGAGCTGCCTCGGCCTGTGGCTCAACCTTAACACGTGGCAGTTCAGGCTCCATCCTCTCCCCTGGGAGCTCCAGCGTGCTCATCTCTGGCTCCACAGCCTCAGTCCCTGGCTCCACCAGCACTATGTGCCCCTTGCCTTTTTTCTTCTTCTTTGAGGACGGCAGTGGGATGGCCTCCTCCTTCACCTGTAGCTGAAGCTCGGCTCTCATCCCCTCCACAGCCTCCATCCCCTCTGTCCCCTCGTGTCTCTTCCTCTTCTTGGTGGGGGATAGGACTGTCTCTTGCAGAGGCTCGGTGTTAACCATGAGCTCCAGCTCCACAGTCCTTTCTGCTGGCTCCAGCACCCCCATCTCTGTCTCTTTAGGCTTCTTTTTCTTCTTCTTGCTGGCGGACGGGACCAGCACTCCCAGCGGTTCCAGCACCTCGGCCTCGGGCTCCGGCTTCATCGCCTCCAGTTCACTGGGATGCTGCTTTTTCTTCTTCTTCCCCACCTCCATCTCTGGGGGCCGCAAAGCCGTGTCCACCTCCAGGGTCCCGTGCCCATTCACTGCCTCCCGAGGAACGGAGGCCTCTGTCACATGCCTATTCTTTTTT